TGTTGAAAATTTTTAACAAATATTAAGCTTGGTGTTCCACAAGGTTCAATTCTTGGTCTATTATTATTTCGTATCTATATAAACCTTGAAACTATTCTGCCAAATCCTTATAAATTAATGTCTATAGTATGATTATAAAAGTAAATTCACTTGATGAAAGGAAATTACAAGTAAAGGTGTGTAAGTGAGTATTTAAGAGCAATGTTTCGGAAGTAGTTTTGTTCCATCAGAAGATTTTTATTAAGAAAGAAATATTAGGTTGTCAAATATCTCCCTTCCGCTTTTTTGCTCTTGGTTTAATACAAAAAGGCGGAAGGGAGATATTTGACAACCTATTATGTATATATGTAGATAATATAATGAACATAATTGCAAGAACATAAAAAGGAATTATAAAAATTGTGCGAAGAGATTTTATTAACAAAAACCATTATAAACCAAGCCACTAATTATTTCAATAAATATAAATTTAGGAGCCGATTCTCTGGTAAAACAGACGATAACATAGCGTTGTTGTGGCGACGCTATTTTACCTTCCTTCTTGCTGTACGATCAGGCGTATTTTACATATAAAGGAACCTATAAAGAATGTTATGATAACTGCATCTTTGTGATGCGCATTTATAACATACGGTTTTATATGTAAAATTAAGGTGACCATATTTTGAAATAATAAATGCTACTTAACGATACAATGAGGAACAACTTTTTTACGAACCAATTTTTTTAATCAGAATTGCGGACTTCTGGTAAGAACCTTATTATTCGATTATATATAATACTTTTGTACCTTTATTATGTTATTTCTTATATTTTCCGATCTGTTTTTTGCTTTTGGGCTTTGTAGAAAATTCTATTCAATTTCTTTTTGTTCTCATAATTTTTGTTAGTTTGCCTATTAATTTTCGAAAAAAAAACGGTACAAAAGATCTAAATCCGGGACAATTATTGCTTTTAGAAAAACCCGGGACACAAGGTGAAAATCAGGGAATAATGTTATGATAACAGAATTCTAGATGGTGCAGTTATCATAACATTATTCCTAGTTTTGTTTATATGTAAAATACGCCTGATCGCACGACAAATGATATTTTTACAGTTTCACTGCCAATAAACAAGCATAACATAGCGTTAAAGCTATTTTATAAGGCAGAATTGCCCCATTACTTTTGTTTAATAATTGTACTAAAGTCAATGATAAGTATAATTATATATTACATTAATTATAACAGAAACGACATAACATGCAATAAAATAAAAAAATCCTAACTTGTTTATTATTCCAAACAAAATAGTAATAGTAATTAAAAAAGTGATAAAGTTGATCCTCTTTCATTAGTATAGCTACTAAAACCTCTACAGTTAATTTCTTTATCAGGTGCTGTAAAAAACACTATTTTTATGTCGTAGATTCATAGAATTTGCAAAAATTGCAAAATAAAACTTTAATAAAATCCCTAATAATTTTTTAGTATTCTTCCAAGACCTAACTAATGTTTATTTTTCCCTTAAACTAGCACTTACCTTGCTCTTATAGTTGTCGAGAACCTGTTCCAAACCCGATCTCTCCTCCTGCATCTTCGATTCTAATTTAGCAACCTCTTTGTTGTAGAGTTCTTTCTAAAATGCAAAATATAAAGAAAAATTTAAAATAGATTCAAGATTTTTTTTCAAATCCCAACACCAAAAAAATTTGAAAAAATTAAATTTGATTGAAAATAGATTGAAGATGATTTTCATCTCATTGGAAATATTTTGATTTCGAAAAAATTCTACAACACTTCTACTGGAAATTTAGTATTTCAAAAATAACAGCCTCGTATGTTTGTATACTAATTTGTGTTTATTATTAGTAATATAAAACTATAAAATATTTATATATGTATATGTATATAGATATAGCAGTCTTTGTGAAATACTTTAAAAATAGATATCACAAAAAAATATTTTAGTAACTAGTATAACGTAGAAATGATGTAAATTTTTTATTATACATTTTTACAACCATAAAATACAGAATTCGATTTGGGTAACAGAATGTTACGTAAAAGTAACATCAATCTAACGTAGTTGCATATATGTTACGTATATTTAACGTTAAAGTAACGTTGAATACATAACGGACAAACTATTCTTGTATTAACCCTTTTATTTGACGACCTGTGTGTACGAGTGTCGCCTATAGACGACTTCAAGTGTAAAAAAATATCAATAATGAAATTTAAAATTGTTTTTGTGGTTTTTAGATCTTTAAAAAACAGATTTTTATTTCTGATTATTGAAAAGTCTTTGTAAGAAATTCTGGGAAGAAATATTCTCTTAGCAAAAGGGTTAATTATAAAAACTGCAATAACCATTTGATTATTATGTTAGATATGTTTGGCAAATTTGTTAAAAATTAGATAATTTCCGACATTGCCAAACTTTGGGCCAAATTTTGGCTCTCCTATATTTTACTTCTAATTTCGATATCAAAAGGTTTAGAACAATTTAAAAACTCAAGAAAAAACGAAATTAGCAGATCAGATTTTCTGTCGACCATTAGAATATTATGGTTGATGTGTTTGGCAAATCCGTTGAAAATTAAATAATTTACAACATTGCCTAACAGCAGAAACAAGTCAGTCTACTAGTAAAAAAAAATGAAAACTTAAAAACTAATAAAAATTCATAAATGTTCTTTATAAAAGAACTTGATCAATTATTATAAAATTCATTTAAATTGTAACACGTATATATCATAAATGTTTATTTGCAGCCAAATAATCGTAATGAAATAAATAATTTAGCTACTTATAGACATATAGGGTGGTCCTTAACATGGACATTATGGAATTTCCTTGCTCCCAAGTGCTCAAATGCTTCTAAAATAATAAAAAAATATTCTCTGAAAGTTTTAGCTCTCAATATTAACATTTAGATAGTCCGCAATCCAAATGAAAGTTTCGTGTATTTATTATTAAGTAAATTCCTGCGCCATCTGTGATAGACTTGTAATTTAGATGGCAATTTATTACTGATAATTTAAACAATTAAATAAATATATTGTTGCAAAATTAATCTTGAATAAATATTTTATTATGGATTTAATTAAAGGTTAAGTGGTTTATAAATATTTTTAAGTGTCGTAATATTTGAGTTCACAAATGCTGTCACAGCTGGCGCAAGAATATATGGTAATAATTAATATACGAAACTTTTAATTGAATTGCGGAGTATCTAAATGTTAATATTAAGAGCTAAAATTTCCTGAGAATTTTTTTTAATTATTTTGGAAGCTTTTGAGCCCCTGGGAGCGTAGAAATTCGAAAATGTCCATATTAAAGACCACCCTAATATATATATATATGTATATAAGTAGCTAAATTATTTATTTTATTTCGTCCATTTGGCTGCAAATAAACATTTCAAGTCTATGTATAAAATTTGTTATTTATTATTATCAAATAGGTGGTTTTCCATAAAATCCGCACTCGACCATCCGTCTGCCCGATATAACAAACCAATAAAACAAATGATACAAAAATCCAAAAACCAACAACAACACACGACTACGTACCATTTGATTCTTCATCTTCAACAATTTCGCCTCGTACTCCACCCTAGTCTCCTTAACTTTGGCCTCGACTTGGGCATCAACATCCTCAGTTTTGGAATCGAGCTCCACCTTCAATTGCTTAATCATCTTACTTTTCTTGTCATCGAACTCGATATACTTCAACTTGGCCATACTGTATTTATTCTCCAGCAAATCGTAGTCTTTTTGCAGTTTTTCGTTGTCAGCGCGAGCTTGTAACAGATGCTGAGTCTGGTCCTCGAGTTGCTGGAACAGACCGGCGATTTGTTTTTGGAGTTTTGTGTTCTCCTCGAGCACAACATCAACGTTGTATTTGGATGATATCTCGTTGTACTTGTCTTGAACTGCTTGGTATTTAATTTTCAAGTCGTTCAATTCTTTGCACACGGCCTGGTGCACTTCGGTTAAAGACTTGTACGACAATTTTAGCCGCGGAGTGGAAAAATGTTTCAAGTGGACGTTTGTTGGTGTTGCATCTAACTCAGGACTTGTTGCAACCTCGATCAAGTCGTTGGAGTAATCTGTGTTGTCCTGGGAACTCGGCATATCAGACGAAACATCGAGGCCTGCGTACTGGTCTTCTATATCCTGCATATCTTTTAACATTTGTTCAACGCCAGGAAGTACAACACTCGGCGCACTTGTGTGCAAAACAAGTTGCACATACTCGTCAACCAGGGTGGAATTTAAATTAGACAATTTGTCATCCAGGTCTAACTTTGGAGACTTCATTAAACGCTTGGACAAACCAAGCAAATGATCAAACTTAGTTTTCAAGTCGACTACTTTTTGCGCCAAGTCAACTTGTGGTGAATCAATTTTAGCCAAATTTGCATCCACCAACACACGTAAATCGTCGTCGCTCCTTGCATTGTTGATGAATTTGTTGTAACACTTGTTATGTGCTAAAATTGTATCTGATTGTGTCTTCAACGTTTCGTACTTGATTTCCAAATCATGTTTTTCTTTGGAGACCGTCAGTAAAAGTTTGTAAGTGCTCATAAAGTGTTCGATATTGGTTTTGGTACGTTCTAGCTCCTCCGACAAGTCTTTCAGCGCCAAAGCATTTGTGGAGTCATCAGTATCAACAAAAGTTTTGGATTTAAACAAAACTTCAACTTCAACATCTTGTTGCGCAACTTGTTTCAAGGTATCATTAATACTTTGAACAGTTTTCCAAGTATTTTGAAGTAACTCTTGGTCCTGGGCTTTTTTAACTTTATCGTTGTCGATGACGTCTTCCAAATCAAATATCTTGTTAGTCAATTCCAAAATGTTGTCATCGCTATCCTTTTGCAGTTTATTATACTTCGCGACCAAATTCTTAATCTCGTTTTGAAGTTTGCGCATTTCTTCCTGCGAAGTTTTCAAAAAATCTTCATGTTTCTGGACTTTACTTTCGTACGCCTGGTGAACGGATTTTAGTTCCAACAAAGTGTTATCAAGACGTTCAGATAAAATTTCATTCTGCTTGTGCAAATTTAATTTATCTTCCAAATCCGATTGTGACTTCTTAAGCAAAATATCATGCTCCGATGTCAACTTGTGCAAGTTGACATCAGCTGCGGATATTTGTGCAGTGAAATCATCAATTTTAGAAGACAAATCATTGTTCTGTTGTTGCAAATTTGCACAAGTTTCAAATTTTGTTCTTTTTCTGCCAACAACACTTTGTTAACATCTTGTTCCCGGTTTAATTTTGTTTTTAAATCTTCAAGTTCCAACAAGTACTTGTCCACTTCTAATTTGTTTTCTTGCAAGATATCCTGATGCTCCTGGACCAATATATCTTTTTGTTTCAACTCTTCTTGTAACAGTTGTTCTTGTCGTTGTAACTTGGATAGCAGTTCTGCACACTGAGTGCTTAAAGTACCTTTATCCAAATCAGCACGTTCTAATTTTATACCCAAAACTATCAATTGTGCCTCCAAGTCACCGTTACCGCTTTTCAAACCATCAATTTCCTTCCTCAAACTACTGATGTTATTTTGGAGAGCATCAATGGTGTCTTCTTTGTCTTTTATTTGTTTTGACCAAGTCTCGCTCAAAACATTGTGCAATTCACGAGTCTCCATCAATTTACTTGCGCATTCCTGATAATCAAACGTTAGTTTGAACTTATCGCCCTCCAAATGGGTTCAAATCGTCTTCCAATGATGCGATTTTATCCTGGTATTTTTGGATATCCAGCGCGATGACTTTTTTGTAGTCCTCGTACTCTTGTACAAGTACCAAATTTCGGTGTAACTCATTTTCTTGTTTTTGCAATTTCGTTTGCAACTCCTCGATGCGCGATTTTAATTCGTCGTCGGAAGATTTTTTGTCTAAAGTTAAAACTTCGATTTCAGATTGTAGACGCGTGTTGGATATTTTCAAATCCGCGATGGTGTGTTTAGAAGCATCCAAATCATTTTGTAATTTGTTTTGGACGCTGGTGAATTCGCTAAACAACTCGGATTTTTCCGTGAGCAATTTTAAATTTTCGTCGTTCAACATTTTGATTTCGCACATCAGTTGTTTGCATTCTTGTTTACTGCCAACATCCAGCTCGTGGTACTTTTTGGTCAAGTCTTCATTCTGTTTTTTGACGTCCACAAAATCTTTGGTCAAACTATCGTAAGTTTTCGCCAGATCACATTTTTCGTCGAGGATGTCTTGAAGCTCTTTCGTTTTGGCGTTCAAAGTTTCGGTAAGTTTTTGGAGATCGTTTTGACTTTGCAAATATTGATTTGATAAACTTTGCTCCAACTGTGCAATTTTAGAGTTCAAGTCTAAGATTTGCGTTTTGGCTTCGTTGTAGTCTGTTGTTGTCGCATCCAAGTCGGCGTGTAGTTGTTTGTTATCGGTTTGGATTTGCGACAATTGCGTGCGCAAATTCGTGTTTTCCTGATTTGTGTCGGAAATCAAATTATTTAAACGGTCAATCTCTTGTTGGTTTTGGGCGTTTAGGGCTTGTGCGTGCTCCTTGGCACTTGACAAATCTTGTATACATTTTTTGTCATCCTTTTGCGCGTCCATCAATTCGGTGACCCAAGCATCCAACGTCGAAATCTGCAAATCTTGTCCACCCACCAAAGCATTCAAAGCAACGATGTCACTCTGTTTTTGCTCATTGGATAGACACTCACTATCCAACCTATCTTTTAGTGCATCCAAATTCTGCAGCAGCCTCTCATTATCCTCTTGCACTTTGGACAACTCCTCAATCCTCAATCTGTATTTCTCTGATAAACTCTGGAAATCCAGCATACTCCTCGTCGTCTTGTCCAACTCTTTAGTGACATTTTCGATCTCCGTTTTGCTGATGGTGTTCAATTTATCCAAATCCTCGACTTTTTGCGACATGGCGCTCAAGTTGATTTTTAGGCCGTCGACTTCTCCAACGAGATTGCAATTCGAGTCGACGATGGTTTTGACTTTGTGGACAATGTCCTGTATGAAATCAGCGGATTCGGTTATTGTCAATTTGTTAAAAGGCTGATCGTCTCCCAAGATTTGTTTGAGGTTGCCAATTTGGGTGTTCAAGGAAGATTCGGCCTGGGAAATAGAAAGATAAAAGATGTAGAGCATTTTGGGGAACTCAACAAAGTTTTTAGAACTGTTTATAAATTAATATTAAACTAGTTGTAAGTGACATTTCGCCTTGCAAGTTGCATTAACTTCCCTAACTTAATAAATGGGAATTGATATTCAGATATTTAAGTTAAAAATATTGGGAAACAAATTTTCTAATACACTAACTAATAATTAATGCGATTCCAATTGACGTCTTTCGAACATACATGGTGTATGTCCTAAGGGTGCAATTTCATAAATTAATAGTAAGAAACAGAAAAGGAACTCTACTGACGAGCAAGAAACAAAAAAGAACGCTCCTGACGAGCAATCTCATAAATTATTAGCAAAAAACGAGGAAAAAAAGAACTCTACTGACGAGCAATTATAAATTATTAGCAAAAAAAAACAGAAAAAAAGAAACTCTACTGATGAGCAATTTCATAAATTAATAGAAAAAAAACAGAAAAGGAACTCTACTGACGAGCAAGAAACAAAAAAGAACGCTACTGACGAGCAATTTCATAAATTATTAGTAATAAACAAAAAAGGGACTCTACTGAAGAGCAAAATCAAATTATTAGCAAGGAAAAAGAAACTCTACTAACGAGCAATTGCTTAAATTATTAGCAAGAAACAGAAAAGGAACTCTACCGGCGAGCAAATTTTGTAAGATTTTTTAAATGTTTTATAATTAAAAAGACTAAAAATTAAAACAATGTTAAACCCTATATTAGATAACAAAAGAACTCTACTGACGAGCAAATTAAGGAAAAGTGATGAAAACTTTTCTGATCAACAAATTAGAAAAAAGAAGTAAAACGAACTCTACCGGCGAGCAAATTTTGTAAAGAATTTATCTTATAGCTAGAGAGCAAAATTAAGTAGTATTTCAGGAAAAAGGGACTCTACTAACGAGCAAATTCAGAAAAAAATTACAAATATAAAATTTGTTACAAACTCCTAACAAGTTTAATATTTTTTAGTATGACTTACCAAAGAGACTCGTTCACCAATTTCCTTATTAAAACATTCCAAAGCATGAATTTTGTGCATGCCATCTTGCAAACTGGATTTCATACTCTCCAGTTGTCCCTTCAAATTGAAATTCTCATCCCTTTGTTCACTATTGGACTTCTCGAGTGACTCGATTGTATTTGTTTGCTCCTAAACCAACCAACGAATTATAAACATATAAGGCATCGTGTCTTAAGGCAAATTGCTGGAACTTCATGTACCGTAAATAAACATTTGAGGAATGAAAATAATCAATTGTTGGAAAAACTCGATTATTTAAATATAGAATTTGGAAATTTTTGAAAATTCTCAAATTTTGGTAAGATTTCCATTTTTTATAGAAATTCGAAATTTTTTGGAATTCCTGGAAAAAAATGTATTGGAGAATTTGTAAATTCTTGAAAATATCCTTTTTTTACTTTGGAAATATTCTCAAATTTTTGTGAGAAATCGATCTTTTTTAATTAGAAATTTTTAGGAATTTTTGAAAAAAGGAAAAGGATTTTTTTAATCGAGAATTTGGAAATTTTTGGAAAATTTCGAAATATTCTCAATTTTTTTTTTTTTTTTTGTTAAATTCGAAATTTTTTGGAACTTTTGGAAAAATTCGCTTTCTTTAATCGAGAATTTGGAAATTTTTGAAAATATTCGATTTATTTGAAAAATTTCGAAATATTCTCAATTTTTTGTAAGAAATCGATTTATTTTAGAAATCTGAAATTTTTGGAATAAAATGATTTTTTTAATCAATAATTTGAAATTTTTTGGAAATACCGATTTTTTTTGAAAATTTAGAAATACTCTCAAATTATTGAGAGATCGTTTTTTAATTCAAATTTTTTTGGATTTTTTGGACAAAATCGATTTTTTTTAATCTAGAATTTGGAAATTTTTAAAAATGCTCGATTTTTTTTAAAATTTCGAAATATTCTCAAATTTTTGTTTCTCAATTCTCAAATCTCAAACATTCGTTTTTTGTAATCTGAAATTTTTGGAAAAAATTGATTTTTTTTAATTCATAATTTGAAATTTTTTGAAATATGGAAATATTTGAAAATTTTTGCAAAAAATCATTTTTTTATTTATTTTGTGATGTTTTCTGAAATGATTTAAAAGTCAACACGATAAAAAATTTCAAAATTTTGAATTTTTTGAAACTATAACCGCTGGACCTGCATTTCCAAAAATTTCATCAGTTCTTCATTTCGTCAATACGTAAAAAATGTTTTTTGAATTATTCAAATCGGACGCTCCGGTTCTCTTAAAAATTTAATTACGATTTTTGGCACTTTTTGCCTCGTATCTTCGAAACGATTAGACCTGCCTTTGCCAAAAATTAATCAGCACGCCACACATCAATCAATACAAATCGAACGGTAAATGAATCATTCAAATCGGTTAACCCGTGTTCCCAAAATCGTCGACGAAAATTTGTATCCGGACACAAATACATTTTTTTTTTCTAAGGTATGCCGGGATGTTCAGAAACCATTGAAACGTAAAAATATATAAAATCTCTCATTTCATTTACACTACGGAAAGTTAAAAATTAATTCAAATTTTTATTGTTAATACCTTAATAAATTGTATTCGTTCCGACAGTTCATTTCGTATAGAATCACGTTCCTGTGAGACTTCTTGGTGAAGATTTTGAATTTCGGGAGCTTTTGTATCGAGATCGGATTTGTCTTGTTCCAATTCCGCAGTCTAAAACAAACACAACAAGAATATGAATACAAGTAGCAATGTTTATTATAATCTTGATCTAAATTACCTTTGCTTCTAATTTTTCATTTCTATTTTTCCACTCCTCGTTCTCCTGCTGAAGTTGATTCAATTCCTTTGTGATTTTATCCAATTCTTTTTTTGTATCGTTTAAAACCTCCTGCAATTGATCCACCTCAGTTTCCTTTTCTCGCAGTTGGACATCGACAACGGTCTGAGCCAAAGTCTCTTCCATGTAACGACTCTGAACTTCTGTAATAACAAAATCAGTAAACCAAATTTTCTAACAAAAATGTTACAAATATTTTTTTTTGTATCTTTTACCTATGGGTAAATTTGAGAAGGACATATCCAGCTCATCCATACTTTTATCCTTCTTGTTCATGTCCTTCAATTGTTCGATTGTTAAATTTAATTCTCCACAAATCTCCTTCATTCGCTCAACTTCCAAATTTCTGTCATCGAGACTAACTTGCAGACGATCATTTTTCAGCTGCAGCTCTGCGGCTGTGCTCTCGAGCATTTCTATATTAGTAGTCATGGCTTCGAGCTAAAAAATAAATTAATGAAGAATTAATTATACTTCTAATTCATAAACTGACATATATCATGTTTATTATTTAAACGAAGTTAAAAAACAATTAAATCTACATAAGAGGGGATGACTAATTGTAAGCAAAAACTGCCCGAATACATTTTGGCAAATTTTATCAATATACTAGCAGAATCATTTCAAAACGTTCTTTATAGTACAAAAACGTTCCTTTCAGTTAACAAACGTTCCGTTCAGTTAAGAAACGTTATTTTCAGTTGAGAAACGTTATTTTCAGTTTAAAAAACGTTCTTTTCAGTTTAAAAAAACTGTTCTTTTCAGTTAAGAAACGTTATTTTCAGTTAAGAAACGTTATTTTCAGTTAAGAAACGTTATTTTCAGTTAAGAAACGTTCTTTTCAGTTAAACGTTCATTTCAGTTAAAAAAACTGTTGTTTTCAGTTTAAAAAAACTGTCGTTTTCAGTTAAAAAAACTGTCGTTTTCAGTTAAAAAAAACTGTCGTTTTCAGTTTAAAAAAACGTTCATTTCAGTTAAAAAAACTGTCGTTTTCAGTTTAAAAAAACTGTTGTTTTCAGTTTAAAAAAACGTTCTTTTCAGTTAAGAAACGTTCTTTTCAGTTAAGAAACGTTATTTTCAGTTAAACGTTCTTTCAGTTAAACGTTCATTTCAGTAAAAAAAAACTGTTGTTTTCAGTTTAAAAAAACTGTCGTTTTCAGTTTAAAAAAACTGTCGTTTTCAGTTTAAAAAAAGTTCATTTCAGTTAAAAAAAACTGTTGTTTTCAGTTTAAAAAAACTGTTGTTTTCAGTTTAAAAAAAACTGTTGTTTTCAGTTTAAAAAAAACTGTTGTTTTCAGTTTAAAAAAACTGTTGTTTTCAGTTTAAAAAAACTGTTGTTTTCAGTTAAGAAACGTTCTTTTCAGTTAAGAAACGTTACTTTCAGTTAAGAAACGTTCTTTTCAGTTTAAAAAAACGTTCTTTTCAGTTAAGAAAACTTATTTTCAGTTTAAAAAAACGTTATGTTCAGTTTAAAAAAACGTTATGTTCAGTTTAAAAAAACGTTATGTTCAGTTTAAAAAAACGTTATGTTCAGTTTAAAAAAACGTTATGTTCAGTTTAAAAAAACGTTATGTTCAGTTTAAAAAAACGTTATGTTCAGTTTAAAAAAACGTTATGTTCAGTTTAAAAAAACGTTATGTTCAGTTAAGAAACGTTCGTTTCAGTTATAAAAAACGTTCTTTTCAGTTATAAAAAACGTTCTTTTCAGTTTAAAAAACGTTCTTTTCAGTTTAAAAAAACGTTCTTTTCAGTTTAAAAAAACGTTCTTTTCAGTTTAAAAAAACGTTCTTTTCAGTTTAAAAAAACGTTCTTTTCAGTTTTAAAAAAAAGTTCTTTTCAGTTTAAAAAAAACGTCGTTTTCAGTTTAAAAAAACGTTGTTTTCAGTTAAGAAACGTTATTTTCAGTTTAAAAAAACGTTCCTTTCAGTTAGAAAACGTTCCTTTCAGTTTAAAAAATGTCATGTTCAGTTAAGAAACGTTATGTTCAGTTTAAAAAAACTGTTCTTTTCAGTTAAACGTTATTTTCAGTCAAAAAAACGTTCGTTTCAGTCAAAAAAACGTTCGTTTCAGTTAAAAAAACGTTCGTTTCAGTTAAAAAAACGTTCGTTTCAGTTAAAAAAACGTTCGTTTCAGTTAAAAAAACGTTCGTTTCAGTTATAAAAAACTGTTCTTTTCAGTTAAGAAACGTTATTTTCAGTTAAACGTTATTTTCAGTTAAGAAACGTTCGTTTCAGTTTAAAAAAAACGTCCTTTTCAGTTAAAAAAACGTGCTTTTCAGTTAAAAAACGTGCTTTTCAGTTAAAAAAACGGTTCTTATCAGTTAAAAAAAACGGTTCTTTTCAGTTAAAAAAAACGGTTCTTTTCAGTTAAAAAAAAAACGGTTCTTTTCAGTTAAAAAACTTTCTTTTTCTAAATGTTTCAAATAGTGCAAAAACGTTTCAAATATCCCAAAAATGATTAATATACTCGTAAAATCATCTCAAAACGTTCTACTTAGTCCAAAAACGTTATTATTCGAAAAAACGTTCTTATTAGTCAAAAAAACGATCTTTTCAGTCCAAAAAACGATCTTATTAGTCCAAAAAACTATCTTATTAGGCCAAAAAACGATCTTATTAGTCCAAAAACGTTCTTTTTAATCTCTAAACGTTCTTATTAGTCCAAAAACGTTCTTTTCAGTTAAAAAACGTTCTTTTTAATCTCTAAACGTGCTTATTAGTCGAAAAAACGTTCTTATTAGTCCAAAAAACGGATCTTTTCAGTCCAAAAAATGATCTTTTCAGTGCAAAAAACATTCTTTTTAATCTCTAAACGTTTCAAATAGTCCAAAAACTTTCTATTTGATCTCAAAACGTTCCACATAGTACAAAAACGTTCTTTTTATGCCAAAAACATTATTTTCAGTCCAAAAAACGTACTACATAGCCATTTTAAAAACATTTCAAATAGTACAAAAACATTCTTGTTAGTCCAGCCATTATATCTTCATATTTGTGATATAAATTTATAGAAATACCAACAATTTTTATTTACCTTTGATTCCATTTTATGTTTTTCGATCTCGTAGTGTTCAATTTCAAGCTGAAGCTTCTCAATTTCTTCGTTCTTTGACTGTATCTCGCTTTTCAGTTTAGTGACCTGCGTCAATACATCTGTCGTATCAACATTCTTCTTTGGCGATTTGTTCTCCCTGTCTAATTCTTCAAGATTCTCTTTCAATTTTTTAATCTCTGATAAATGTCTTTCTTTTTCAGAAGCTGGAAATAGAAATAAAAATAACAATTAAAATAGTATAACCTAAAACTAAAAAAACTAAAAACCTAACCTATAAATATTTATTTTAAGCAGAAACAACCATCAACGTTACTAACTAACTAGATGTAAGTGGAATTCTGTCTTAAGGCAATTAAGGCATCGTGCCTTAAGGCAAATTGCTGGAACTTCCCGTGCCAAACATTATTAATTTTTTTAAATTTTACTTCGAAAAAATAAGATTTTTTAGAAATTTTAAATTGGACAAAAAATTACTTTTTTGAAATTTTTTTTTTGGAAAAAATGTTATCTTCATTTTGACATATTTTGGAAGATCTGAACTTTTTTTCAAAGCAATCGTACTGCTTTAACTGCATAGAGACAAAATATAAAGCGCGTAAGCGCCGCGTCGCTGTCTAACGGATAAAAATTGGTACGGAACCCATCGGAATGTTAACAAAATGTATACTTATTGTTAAAATCTCTATAAAATATCTGATAATTTGATGTGCATATGTCTAATGTCTAATGATTATTGTTGACCGCCAAATGTTATTTTTTTTTAGTTTTTTTTACTATATCTCCGAAACCGCTAGACCTATCTTGATGAAAATTTGATCAAATCTTCATCTTGTTAATACAAGTAAAATGTTTTTTGAACTATACAAATCGGACGCTCCGTTCTCTTAAAAACTGAGTTACCGTTTTTGGCCCTTTTTGCCCACATACATCAATTTTCTCCAAGGTATGCCAACATATTCAGAAACCTCTGAAACGTGAAGATATATAAAAATTTTCATTTTCGATTTTTTTGCGATTACTTACCCTATGGAAAGTTAATTATAAATAAATCAATTTATCATCTCCAGAACATTAACAATCGTCATTTCATTTCGAATCAAATTCCAAAAAAAATATAGTTGCCAAATTTACACAAAATTGAAAAAGTGCTCCCGCATAGTCACAGTCTAAACGCATTTGCAAATAATTCTGTGCGACATTTTCACTTATACTGTGCTCAGCTTGGCGGCATTTCCACATTTTTCAATAATTTTCACAAAATTGGAAAAGTGCTCCAGTACACAAACAGTCTAAACGCACTTGGGTAAACATTTGTACCAGAGTGGCGCTTAGACTGTGCTTAGCTTGGGTGATTTTTTGAATTTTTAATCCAAAATTACAAAAAAATTTTTAAAAAAAAAAAATTAGAAACAAAATTTTTTTTTTCCAAAATCAATTATTTTGTTGAAAAAAGCTGAAAGTTCTTTGAATCATTTAAATCGGACGTTTAGTTCTCTCAAAAACAGCCATTTTTTTTAAATTTAGCTCTGTATCTCCGAAACCTCTGGGCCTACCTTTGCCAAAAACTAATCAGCACATCTCCCTATCAATAGGAATCGAATGTTTTTTAGATCATTCAAATCGGATACTCCGTTCTCTCAAAAACTCGCTTTCTATTTTTTGCACTCTTTGCTCCATATCTCCGTAACGCTTGGACCTGCCTTCGCCAAAAACTAATCAGCACGTCTCCTTATCAATACGAATGGAATGTTTTTTGAATTATTCAAATCGGTTGATCCGTGTTCCCGAAATCGTCGACGAAAATTTGTATCCGCACATACATACACACACATACATACACACACGTACATACATACATACATACACACACACACACACACATACATCCATTTTTTCTAAGGTATGCCAAAATGTTCAGAAACCTCTGAAACGTAAAGATATATAAAAATTTTCATTTTTGATTTTTTTGCGATTACTATAACTTGCCCTACGGGAAGTTAAAAACTAAAAACCTAACCTATAAATATTGATTTTAAGCAGAAACAACCATCAACGTTACTAACTAAATAAAATAACCTATAAATAATTGACCAATTTTAACGTAAATCTGAACAATAATAATAAATTTAATAACGTAAATCTGAATAATAATATGTATAATAATAATAAATCTGTATAATTCATTCTACTTTTTTTAGACTCATAACTTTTTAAAAAAAACTCGTTTGAATAATTGATTTAGGCTAATTATTAATAACTTCAGACGTCTCTTTCTAAAAAGTATGTAAGTTCATCAATGTAAACTTAAAATTAACTCTCGTTTACCTAATTCATTATATTTCTCAGTCAAATCTTTAAGAGATTCTTCCAGATAAAATATTTCCGACAATTTAGTCTTCAAATCCTCCTGCACCCTCTGCAGCTGCCCCGAATATTTCTGTTGGTTGGGTGTACAAGGTGACAGAGACAAACTGGGCGAATCGAAATGCATATCTATAAAAAAAATGTATATAAAAAAGTAACTGTCAGTTATTGTTTTGTTTTCACAATATTATTTATTTATTAATTTACCTGTTTCTATAGGTATTGACAAAGCAATCATCTCCCTTGTCAATGCATTGTGTTGCATGACGTTTTGTAAATATTTATATATATCTATTTGACACGTCTCGTCTAAACTGATCATTAGGTTTTTGAATGGTGTATTTGTGTCGTTTAGTCTGATGACACAATAGTGGAGCAGCAGGGCGCTTATGTAAACACAGTCTTCGGGTATGAATGTGTTTGAAGACGGGCTTTTGAGTGTAAAATCTGGATAAGTTTCTGCAAGGAAAAAAGAATAATAATTATTTTATTTATTTATATATTATTTTCATATCTCAGTCAGACAGGGGTAAATGGTATGAGAGATTATGAAGCAATTTTCTTATTTTATATATACATATCATCATTTGTCTATTTCATTATATTACAATATAATATTTATTATAATTAAAATATCTATGCAGTCTTCAATTTCCTTATAATATTTCTTTTTAACTTCCCGTAGAGTAAGTTATTCTAATGGGCCGAAAATCAAAAATGAAAATTTTTGCATTTCTCGACGTTTTGAAGGTTTCTGAACATTTTTAAGGGGCATACTTCAGAAAAAATGGATGTGTGTGTGTGTGTGTGTGTATGTATGTATGGATACAAATTTCCAGTCACGTTTTCGGGCGCACGGATCAACCGATTTGAATGGTTCAAAAAACATTCGATTCCTATTGATAGGAAAAAGGGTTGATTAGTTTTTGGCAAAGGCAGGTTCAGCCGTTTCGGAGATCCGGAGCAACGAGTGCAGAAAATAGAAATCGAGTTTTTGAGAGAACGGAGTATCCGATTTGCATGATTTAAAAAACATTCAATTAGTAATGATTGGGAGAAGTGTTTATTAGTTTTTGGCAAAAGCAGGCCAAGCCATTTTGAAGATACAGAGCTAAATGTGCAAAAAATGATAGTTTTTGAGTGAACTAAGCTTCCGATTTGAATGATTCAAAAATCTTTCTTCTTGTTTCAACAAAATAATTACTTTTGGAAGAAAAAATTCTAAAAAGTTTCTAATTTTTTTTTTCAATTTCTTTTTTTCAAAAAATTGTTTTGTATATCGAAAATAATTTAGATTTTAATTTTAATTCTGTTCTAATATACTTTAAATAAATAATTTTAACTTTGCAATTTAGTTCATATAATTCTTATAAATATTAAACAATGTTACAATATTTTAATTTATTTGCTTGCCAGTAGAGTCCTTTTTTATCTTCTAGATTTATAATTTATTTGCTTGTCAGTAGAGTCCTTGTCAGTAGAGTCAGTAGTTCCTACTATTTATGTAGGAAGCACTTTTCCAATTTGGTGAAAGAAAACTGTTGAAAAATGTGAAAATGCCGCCAAGCTAAGCGCAGTATAAGTGAAAATGTCGCACAGAATTATTTGCAAATGCGCTTAGACTGTGACTGTACGGGAGCACTTTTTCAATTTTGTGTAAATTAGGCAACAATTTTTTTGTTGAAATTGAATTCGAAATGAAATGACGATTGTTAATAATCTGGAGATAAATTGATTGATTTATGATTTACATTTGAATTCAACTTCTTAGGTTGGCGATGTGTAAATTAGTAAATAGAATTTTTTTTGAAGTAAACTTCTTAAGTCGCGATGTGATATAGAGTCTGTTTTGATTAAACGTAAAAGAGACAACAGTATATAGTGAGAAAATGAAAGAGAGATATAAAGTATTAGTGAAACAAAAGAGCAGACATATACCTGACAGTGTAGAGTGACAAGTAAGATACATGAATATGATGTAACCTCCAAAATTTAGCAACTACCCTTTTTAAATGTAAATTTTTGATAAAAGGACAAGAATACCAATTTTTGTTGTTAATAGAAATGTAGATAATTTATTTCGCTATGACTTTGCTGAATATTTCAAATGGTGGGCATTTCGTTTTGAAGTTATAAATAAATAAATAACAATCTAACTGGTCCAAAAGTGTGAAGCAAGATATACTGATGCAACTTCCAAAATTTAACAACAACCTGTTTCATTGCAAATTTTGGGTGAAAGGATATGAGATACAACATTTTGTTATTAACAAAAGTTGTAGATAATTTAATTGGCTAAAAATTTGCTGAATATTGCAAAACAATCGGACAATTTGTTTAGAAATTATAAACAAATAAAAATCGAATCGGTCCAAAAATATAAAACAAAGATAATATTAAAATGTAGCATCCTCAATTTAACAACAATCATTTTAGTTCTTATAAATTCCGCCAAGCTAAGCACAGTATAAGTGAAAATTTCCCACAGAATTATTTGCAAATGCGTTTAGACTGTGACTATACGGGAGCACTTTTTCAATTTTGTGTAAATTTGGCAACTATTTTTTTTTTGAAGTTGAATTCGAAATGAAATGACGATTGTTAATGTTCCTGGGAGATAAATTGATTGATTTATAATTTACATTTGCTTTGCTCAATATAACAAGATAGCAAAAATAATGAAGGTTACAGTATTTGTAATAATATATTTGTAAACATTTAAAATTTCTCAAATATTTCATTACGATACAGGAAGTTCCAGCAATTTGCCTTAAGGCACGATGCCATACATGACAAGTTATGTATTAGAATCGTATAGTTTAATTCTTCTGGATTCTGTGGGCTACGTAATGAAATACAATTCCTTATATATATCGAGAAGTTTAGGCAACTATTCTTAAAGTAAAATAAAACTTACACCTAGCTTAAGTTTAAAATCAACAAAATAATAAAGTACTCTATTACCTCTAGATTTGACAATTAACTCCACTTACCTTTTATAAAACTTTTAACATGAGAAATGACATTAACTGTTTCATTCTGTTCCAAAGGCGTTCTGTCATTTGTAAAAGCACATATCAAATTAAAAAACACATCTCCATTTTCCAAATCAGCAAAATCACTGACAAACGTATTCCTCACAGACAGACAGTTAATCTGAAACGAGAAAAAGCATTATATTACCAAATAGTTCCATTAATCAACAAGTGTACTTGTCAATTCCTAAACTTACCCAATTGACAATGGTAGTTTTCCATGTCGGGGAATCCATTTTGTTTATTAAAATAATACTAAATATTTTGTTTGTGTATTGTAATAACGTCGTGTGTTGTGTGGTAAAATCTTAACTTGTTTAATTTGATAAAAACACTGACTGGAACACCGACTGTTTGGTGCTTGTTACTCGTTACTCGGCCATTTTAATTTAACGTACTTCGCATAGAGGACGAAGTGTCTTCGGGCGATAGATGAGACGGTACGATTGTGACGTCATATAAGATAAATTCATAGATAAATGAAGAATATGGATGGTAAATAAATATTAGTGTCTACATCTACATCTAATGATAAATGAACTAGTGGTGTATGGCATTGTGCCTCAAGGCAAATTGCTGGAACTTCCCGTACCGTAATAAAATGATCAAGGAGTATTAAATGTATTCAAATAGAATACAGTAACTTTCATTATTCATAATTTTATAGTCAAAACATAAGATGTTATAAATTGGACGACGACTTTTATATATATATATATATATATATGGTGTGTGAACTAAATAAACAAAAACTTATTTTTTTATTTTTTTTTTATTTTTTTTTATTTTCATTCTGCAATCTATAAAAATAATTATTTTAGCAGAGAATGCTGACAAGTGTTTACAATTGGTTGTTTACAAATTAGTACATACGCCCAGTGTGTATCTACAATAGTTAATATATAAAAAAGAAAAACTAAAGACAATATAGAGAAAAAATATAAATATAAAATAAACTATAAAAAATCTCGAGGTATTTTCCTTTGAGCCTAGTTGGCTGCCTTCCTGTATAAGTTGCATGCTAGTTGGTTTGGATGTGCGTCAATTCTATTCTTATAATTACAGGCAAACATTGATATATGTTCTTGAATGTGTAGGTATACCCGTGTCTTTGTGGAGAATCAATGTTGGCGTGTAGTGAGGAGCGTTTAATATTTGCCGCAGGAATTTGTTTTGTGCTCGTTGTATTGTTTAAATTGCTCTTTTTAGCAGTACCCCAAAGTTGTAATCCGTAGGTCCACACGGGTTTGATCACGGCCTTATATATAAGTAATTTGTTGTAAGTATAAACAAAAACTTAATCGAGCAAATTTGAATAAACAAAATAAAAATATTAAAAATAAATGAGGTGATTCTATAACAAAAAATTTGAAAGTTTTATAAAAAGGTTATTAAGAAAAAAAAAGCGCGTAAGGTTCACACGCGATTGAGGAAAAAAATGTTCATACTGTACAAGATGGCATTTAAATAAAAATAAATACATTTTATAACAATTTTGAATAATGTTCATCAGTAATATGATGCTAACACTCGTGATGCACACATTTATTAGTGTCAACCATTATACACATTTATATAATGATAAATTATAAATTATATATTTATAACAGCATTAAAAATATGTATACTATTTAAAAACAATAATGCAATTAAATTCATACTTTAAATATGACATGATCGGTTTGTTATTGTAATTAGCATTTAGAAATGAACCTTCATTGGATAAATCAAGTAATTGCTGATTAATAAATTCTATAATATTCGTTCACACCGTGGATTATGTTAAACAACGCCTAAACAAATAATGCTTTTGCAACTTCAGTCATCGTGTAATAATTGTGTTTGAAGAACTTCATGTACTTAAAATTAACATACATTTATTGACCATGCTTTTTTTTATTTTTTAAATATTTCTAATTTAAATATTTTAGAATCCTTATTTCGCTATATAGAAAACTCCTTACTCCAGTATTTAAAAGACTTCTCATTCCTCTCTTCAAAATACTATTTATTCCACTATTTTGAAGAATCCTTAACTCACTATTCCTTATTCAACAACTTTACAAGACTCCTTATTCCACTACTTAAAAGACTCCTTAATTTATGATTCACAAGATTCCTCAATTCATGATTCAAAAGACTCATCATTTCATTATTTTAAAAAAATCTTTAATTCATTATTTTGGAGACTCCTTAATTCACAATTTAAAAGACTTTTTAATTCATTATTTAAAAGACCCCTTAATACATCATTTTAAAGACTCTTTAATTCATGATTCAAAAGATTCCTCAATTCATTATTTAAAAGACTCCTTAATTCATTATTTAAAAGACTCCTTAATTCATTATTTTAAATACTTCTTTTTCATTATTTAAAAGGCTTCTTTATTCATTATTTAAAAGACTCCTTAATACATCATTTCAAAGACTCCTTATTTCACTATTAAAAAGACTCCTCATTCCACTATTTAAAAGACTCATTATTTCATTATAACTGGCGATATAATGTCATTCTTTGAACAGCTGTAATATCTGTTTTGCCTAAAAAATATTTTCCATTTCCATAACTTCAAAGATTTATAGAAATTACAAAATAATATTTTGGCAATAAACTTACGTTTAGTACATGGCACAAATGTTTAATTTGTTTTATTATATTCAAGGAATAGGGTAAAATATTCTTCTGATTCAGGCATTTTTCATTAAATCAAGATTTGTACTAAGATGTAACTTTAAAGTGTTTATTTATCTATGTCGATTTCCTTGTTGATATCTGTGCGCATACAACGTTGATGCCGGTAATCTGCTTTTTTTCAAATGACCAACGGTTTCAATTAAATTCACTTTTACCATAGATAAGTAGAAGCATAGAGTGTCTTTACAAATTCATTTTGGCCGTCTATGTCTCAACTGTCAACACTCTAGCGCTAACCATGCGGTGACAGCACACAACATTTTTTATAGGTTGTGTTTTCACAAATTCGACTTATTTAACAAAATAAATATATTTAAAAGATATTTTGACAAATATTTTCACACAATGACGACAAATACTATTAAATACACAATCACCAGCACACATATTTACATGATAAAATCGTAATATATGGTACTTTATTTATATTTTATTTTAATACACTTTGATAGAATTTGTAAAAAAAATGCTGTTGCAAAAGACTAATTCGTAAGTTATAACTAAAACTTAAATAATGTATGAATATACATTACCCATATACATTACACATATTTCTTTGTAGCTTTAAAGTTCAATGCTTTGAGAGCATGT